AATTTAAAAATCTTCTTTTTGAACAGACCAAGCTGTCCAGTGTCTGAATAATGTATTCCTGGTAAAGGGCAAAGTGGATTCTTACCACTGGCCTGTCTTTGGCCTCATCAGGATGGTTTCAAATTGGAAGTCGAGAGGAAGAAGAAATAGTATGATAAAAACTGTAAAACTAGATGTTATAACAGACATTGGTTATAACAGACGAGGGCCAGAAACAACACTTTAGATATTTACCTTCCAATGCAGACACTGGTGTTAAAGTAAATCTGAAATTTTAATAGAAAGAGGAAAATATACTTTGTAATTATATAAATTATATATAAATGTGATGTATTTTGAAATATCCCTGCAATATGATGAGAAAATAATCATGCCTGTAATATAACAACGGAAGACTACATTTACTTAATTAAATCATACCTGGTAGAAGATAAGAGGAATCTTGTGTCAAGAAGAGATCTATCTAGGGGCGCCTGGGTGGCTCAGTCAGTTAAGCGTCCGACTTCCGCTCAGGTCATGATCTCGCGGTCTGTGAGTTCGAGCCCCGCGTCGGGCTCTGGGCTGACAGCTCAGAGCCTGGAACCTGTTTCCGATTCTGTGTCTCCCTCTCTCTGACCCTCCCCCGTTCATGCTGTGTCTCTCTCCGTCTCAGAAATAAATAAACATTAAAAAAAAATTAAAAAAAAAAAAGAAGAGATCTATCTAAAGGAAGTCTTTATGCCTAATGGTGAAAAATGTCAGGCTTTTGAGTAAAAATAAGTAGAAAGAGAAGTGAAAATTCTGTCCTCATGGAAGAATTTTATAGTGTCTCCAACTAGGGAGAGGCAAGGAGATATTTAGGGCCTTCAAGAAAGCATTGTGTCTTTCTCACTTTTGTATGCACCATTGAAATTTATAGAGTTCCTTTCACATAATTGCTCAATACTTATTTTTGAGTGTTTTGAATTGACAAAGAAACGATAAGGTTTTGGCAGGTATAGTAACCAGATCAGGCAAACGAGTTTTTTAAAGTTCAGAGAAAAAATAGGTTTGATTCTATGGCCAGGGAATGCAGTTCATGAGACTCTGAAACTTTGTCATTCTGACAGTGTAATAATAAATTATCTCCATGAAAAGGGAAAGAATTAGATAGCTGGTTAGTAAGTGTGGCTTTCAGTAGTAGACCAACTAATCAATTCATAGAGAGAGACTGTCCAATGAAAAGATTACATGTTTTTGAAAAGTGGGAGAGCAGTGCTTAAGAGTCTGTAACATGGCACCAGACTGCCAGAGTTTGAGTCTTGGTGCCACTTGGACAAGTCTCTGTTTTCCTTAGTTTCCTTTTCTGTAAAAGAGGGGATAATAGTAGCACCTCCTTCGCTGGTTTGTCAGGAGATTAAATGAGCTCATATGCATGAGGAGCTTGAGACAGAGCCTGACACATAGTAACCAGCACTCCATGGTAACCACCACTAACATGGTGTTAGTGTTATTTTTATTGTATTGTTTAGTTAGAAAAGAGGGGCCTAGGAATCAAAAAGCAAACAGGAGATGAAGTAAATAGTACAGTAAGAAAAAAAACAACAGGATTTTGTTCTCAGAGCAGCCTTAAGAATAGAAAGGAAGCTAAGGCAAAGTCTACACCTTAAAACCACGGTTCCTGTGTCTGTAGAGAGAGAAGAGAATGAGACGTTGTAAGAGAGGTTGTTGTAGTTAAGCCAGCGTATTCTCGTGTGTTCTGGGGTGACGGTGACTTGAACAAAACCAAAGCTGTGTAAACCTGCACGGGTGGAGGACAGGCTTGCCACCTGCGGGAAGGTGTCCATGAATGTCCTGCTCGTGAAAGTGCACGTGCAGGAGATCCTCTGTAAATTCCAGACTGAGGTTACTACATGTACAATAACAAGGATGACTCAAAATGTGACACGAAAACATTTTCAGGAACAGTTCTGAATATCTGAAAACTTAGAATGAACTGAAGCTTACGATAAATGTCAAAGACTACAGTGACTTTTTGGAATGTTTGTTCAGAATAAAGAACAATAGGTTGTTGCTTCAATTTTTGTTTGCTTCCATGTTCTATGAAGAACATAGATCAACCATGGTTGAATGAGTTCAGGTTCCCAGTCCTTGTGTGTTTATCCAGGTATCAAAGCCACTCCTAGTTACTTAAATAATAATGGGGAATGAGAGAAGTACCCAGCAGACATGATTTTCCAGAGGAGGTATATGAGTAACTGTCACAAACATTACAGCTTTTTGTAAATCTTCCCCTGCCCTGACACACTTTTCAGAGGTACCTGATTTGAATCTCAGGCTTATTTCTGCAAAGTTCCCCAAAATTGTGTTACTTCAATTTTTTAGCATCCTATCCATTTTGATATGTAGTGGGGCTTTTTTTTTCTTAATAATTGACAGTCTTACTTTTAACTTCTTTGTTTAAATTTTATTTTTGTTGGTATTTATTACATTTCCAAGCAGTTGGGACTATTCTTTTTAAACTTTTGTTTTTAATTCTAGTTTAATTGTACAGTATCAAAATGCAGTTTTGGCATTTCTGATTTGGGGAATTTGTTTTCTTTTATTCCTGCTGCTAGAATTTGTATAAATTTAATGCTTCGTAGAGCTTTGAAAATAGGTATATTTTCAGCCTTTGTTGGTCAGAGCTTGAATCATTTAAATTTGTTAATCATATTGTTTAAACTTTTTAATGCTTTTAATACTTCTTTACTTGAAACAGATCGACTCATTTGTATTTTAATTATGTTTATATAAATAAAGTATGCTCACTCCAGGAGTATTTATAACTGATAGAAGTTTTGCTTTACAAGTTAGATGGGATGTGATTTTGCGTATAGCATTCACGAGGGTCATACCTTTCATCATAAAATTGTCTCCTATCCCAATAACCGAATTTTGAATGTTTTCCCCTCTATTTTCAATATACTGTTAATATTGCTGCTTCTGTTTTCTTTTTTGTTCACATTTATCAACATTTTATGTTTAACCTTTACTTTTGGTATCACTTTGTTTTAAGTGTGTCCCTTGAAAACATGTCATTGGATAAAAAAAATTGTTCTAACTTATTTTCAGTAAAAAAGTAACCATTTTATATTTTTCAATATAACTGTGATGCTTGATTTTGCTTCTCTCACCTTGCTTTATACTTTCTCTTTTGAATTTTTTGCCTTTTTTTCATAAACAGTTGTGATTATTGTTGTTTTCTGCATTGGCTTGAAGTGTAGGCATTCTTTCATTCCTTCCTAAGGATTTTCAAAGACTTCCTTAAAACATAGTAAACTATCAAATAGATTAATCACTTGCTCTTTTCTCAAGCTCTAAGGCATTGAATTAAGGTTTACTACCTTCTTCTATGTCCGCTTTCTGAGATGAGACAGCAGCAATTTGGGGACGTTTGTGCCTGTTTGAGTGTCTTTTAGCAGTATCTGTGCTATAACTTAAACCCCCTGATTTCCAGTATATAGGTTGTACCTCTCTGACTTAAAGTACTGACTTGGGTCTTCTCCTCTCCTCTCCCATTTCATATTTCTTGGTTCATGTAACTGGGAATTTAGGAGAGGAGAGTTAGCCGCTTGTGCATAAAACTCCATCTTGTCAGAAATTTGGTATGCTATATTTCAAAGAGGTGCTGTGATAACAGAGCAGTTTGACCTTGATGAGACATGAAATTATATCAAATAATGTGCAATTTAGGAAAGGGAAGTGTTTATGTCTGGAAAAGAGAAAATCTAAATGGAATGTGACAGCTACCTTCAGATATCCAAAGGGATGCCATTTGGAACAAGGAATAGACTGACTCTGTTTCTTCACCAGCTGGTCCCAGGCCAGGGTGAGTGAATTAAGCCTGTACAAACTGCTGCCAGGAGGACACTGTCTTACATGTGGGTGGGGTATTGAACCATTTGATTTCTAAGGTTCTTGCCAACACTATGCTTCTTTTAATGTAAATAGGTTTCTGAAATGTGGGCTATAAGACGATTTTTCCCCCAAATTTAGTGTGTGTAAGAATTGAATGAGACCCTTGTTAAAAATGCATGTATGTGAGCCCGGAAATTTTGACTTAGTTAAGTTTAGGGTAGGACCTAGTAATCCATTTTTCTCATGTAAGTTAATTTTGACAATATGCTGTTACTCTTAGGTAAAATGAGTTTATTAAAATACTATTCTTTGGCATTTTATAATTTGCTCTTAGGATATATTTCATGCAACCCATTCTTTATTGATAGTAACCAACCATAAATATTATCTTAACTGAATTTATAGGTTTGAGTAAAAAGTAAATGCAATTACTTTACAACATTTGCTGCTATAATTTAAGGTTTTGTAAGGATATGGTACCTAAGTGCTACCTAAGTAACCTAAAATGGTACCTAAGTGCTAGTATTGAAGAAAATAATTGAAGTCAACAATTCTGCATAAAACTGTCAATGTGGGTCCTAGTGGAAGCAGACAACAAGATGTCACAGTAAAAGATAAAGGGGAAAGAGAGCAAGAAAAGTCTTCATCAAGATGCAGTTTGACACTTGTGGAAGTTGAGAGAGGGAAGGAAAGAGGACGAGGAATGGAGAGCCTCAAACAGATAACAGCTCTGAGGAAGTCCGAGCCAGCCCAGTGGTCAGCGCTGATCCAAGTAGCCACAGAAGAGATCACTGCTGGGCAGACACGGCCAGGCCCTGATTCCCCCTGGTTCTCGGTCATTGACTGGGAGCTTTGTGGGGAGAACACGGCTTCTGCTTCAGTATGGCGGCACATGTCAAGTGCTGCAGCTGAGACTGTAACCTGCCTGTATTCCTCGCAACACGTATTCTCTCTTTTTCCATTTTCTTTCTTTCTTTCTTTCTTCCTTCCTTCCTTCCTTCCTTCCTTCCTTCCTTCCTTCCTTCCTTCCTTCCTTCCTT